GTTTCTAATCGGATTTTTCAATTATACTCGAATATTATTTATAGTTTTGAAGTTTCACTACAAACATTCAAAAGAACATATATACACTTGGAATGTTATTTCTAAAGTTTTATCGCACGGTGCTATTTATATTGTCATTGAGGATAGCCAAAATGGATCCCTCCATCGCATGGATAACACACACAAAAAATCTCACATTGATCACAACAATTACTTTGCTAGCTAATCTACGCTCACAAACACCTATCCACGTCTGAACTAAGTTTTAAATTCTATCCATATGTAGGTTCACCATACCTACTGACTTCAGCTACACAAGCACCCTCCCCTCCTCGATTCCGACTAAACGAGTAGGTAACCAGTGTCTATACACTACTCACTCATATCCACTCTTTTTCTAATTTTTAATGTATTTCACTTTTATTTTATTTTTTGATTTAAATACATTTAAATTAATTTGTTTTATAACTATAATTAATTCATTTTCTACTTTTATTTGTTTTCTTACATTCATTTCTTTCTTCTCAAACTTTCACTTTATTAGTGTTTTCTTTTCACTTATAAAATTTTATCTCTTATCATAAATTCAAACATTTATTAGTCCTTAATTTTTCTAGCTTCCATCTTCTCATGATTTGGTTACAAGTTAGAGGTTCACTTGTCATATGTCACGAAATCAAATGAAACAATATCTAATGATACTAAGACTAGGAAAATCAAGTGTCCCAAACTCATTCCTAGTAGTTCCCACTACCGGGAAGGTGTCCAAGTTCTATTCTTATCAAGGAATCAAGTCAGTATCTGTTCTATGCTAAAACACACAAATTTAAGAATACACATGCATAAGCTTTTAAAATCCTAATCCAGGTTTGGAATGAAGAAATACTTACCAAGGTCCCTCAAAGAGATTATATTCAACTTGATCAACCGCCTATATTCACCATATATAAAAGTAGTTGAATTTAATTGATGAAAATGAATTAAACCTAAAAAAAACTACTAACAGTGACCATTTTGGGTAATTACCAATAATAAGTTCGTTCTTCAGTATTTGACGAATCACCACTTTGGCTCCCTGCGTAGGTGTGAGTGATTTATTTTTCAAAATCTGTACATATATACATACATGAGTATTATCATCTTATTCACCAAAACTCCACAAAAGAAAGGAAAAAGAAGGTCACCAGATTCGGTTTCAGTGCTATGAAGACCGAATAGCCTCAAGTTTCTAAATTTTCACCATCGAAGATGATTTTTAATTTTTCCTGAGAAGACCCTCACGCTCACCGTGGCAACGTGAGCACTCTATGTAACACCCAACATTTGCTTTTATTTTTATTTTTATTTTTTTAAATATAGTTATTTATTTATTTAACTTATTTTAATTTAATAAAAAAGGGGTAAAAATTTGTTAAGGATTAAATTGAAAATAATTTTAGGAAAAAAGGGTGAAAATTTAGGTTCTGAGAGTATTTTTTTAAAAAAAAATCAGAAACCGATAGTCAAAACATAATTTTAAAAAATTGTGCCATGTCGGATGTCCCGTTAGCAGTCCCGACCAAGTGGGATGCGCCAGGTGGCAGAGGCGCTGATGCGGGAGGCCACGCGGGGGAGAGCCACGTGGGCAATTCGCGTGCGCGCGATCAAAAAACTGAGGTTCATTCCGCGCGCATGGACAACTCAGATTGAAACGTGCAGAGACGACCCAGATTGAATCGCGCACGGACGGCCCAGATTGAATCACGATGAACGACCCAGATTCACTTCCTATTTAATCACGATCAGATAGTATAGATCAAAAGTGATGGACGGCCCAGATCAAAAGCATATGGGTATAAATAACCCCATTCAAACCCAAAACCTAACCCTAACCGCCGTCACCCGCCGCCGCATCGGAGTAATTTTTGATCGCCAAACGAGGTACAAATTTTACCCTTTGCTTAGAATTTAATTTTAAACACACCCATGATCAAATCGAAACAAAAAGACTGGCCGATTGGCCGAAAAATGCTGGCAAAACCTAGCGCTGTCCCCGTAGGGTATTTCGTAAAACGCCTCCGATAAGGCCATTCCCGATTCCCATTCGATGTGATTTTTTCACCGTTGTGATCACCGTTTCCTTCTCTATAGGTTGACCGGAGTAAAACACCCAACCACAACGTGAGCCAGAGGAGCCATCGCACCGAAGAGCCCGCCGCTGGTGAGTTTCGGTTTTCTACATTTTTTCGGCCAACTGAGGGCGCTAAGTGTGTTTTCTCGTAGGAACTGATGTAAATTTGGCTGAATTCGACCAAAAAAGGTCGAAAACAGTAAACTCAAGGCGGATCGCAGCCACAAGCGGCGGCGCTGTCGCCAGAGCACGGCGGAGCCGCCGTGTCAGATTTTCAAAATTGGTCGAGTAGACCTTTGGACTAATTTTTTGGGTTATTTGAGACATTTGTAGGTACCGTAAGTGCGTTTCAGTTCCCGAAAAAAAATTCAAAGAACTTAGGGACAGCCCGTAGGCGCAGTAAACCATTTAGTTTTTTGATGTCAAATCAAGTAAGGACCCCTCACTCTATTTTCTATCATGGAATTGAAGTTTGAATAAATAATAATACGGTATTTTGTACAAATTAAATAGATGTGCATAATTAATTACGGATTGCTAATGGAGCCTAAACCGGACATTATTTTCTGTTAATTTATTTTACAGTTTAAAAGCATAATAGTATCTGGTTTATCTATTTTATAGTTTAAATGCATGCATTATTACCTTACTTGATCATTGTTTGATTTTGGAATTTAAGATATGATTGCATTACCGGATGCATGTTCATTTGTTTATGTGATTATGTTTGATTTGGTAATGGGGACTAAGGGAAAAGAGGAAAGGGGTGTAATAAAATAAAACATATAAGACGACAGCCTCACTAGATATCCTGAGAGATGGTGGACGGATCGAATTCATAGGGAACCCTACTGTGAATGTTGGCTCGTACCGGATGGGGTATGAAGACTTGGTCATTTGGCGCCCATACCGGACGGGGTATGTGGACAACCCGCTTTACCCTCATACCAAATGTGGTATTGAGGTTTAATATCTTGGCACTCATACCAAATGAGGTATGGGGATGGCTCTGTAATTAAAATTATTAAGAAAAATAGTTCACGTGTAGCGGAGACACCCCTATGGATCCCAATGAATACTAGTGGACTGGTGAAACGAGAAACGGTTATGATTTAGTTATTGTTAATGAATATGAATTTATGATATGTTTTATGTTACTGATCGTGCATAAAGTTATGATCTGTATGATGTTATTGTCTTTATAGGTTGTTTTCATAAATTCCACAATGATAAGTGAACTGTAAATGATTTTACGATTGATAAACGAATTTACTAAATTTAGTACTCCATTAGTTGTTTTGATTTTCTACCAACTTTTGCTTCTGTGTCGGTGATATAGTGTTATGTCCTTACTAGATTGGTGTAGCTCACCCCTTATTTAATTATTTCAGATTAAGAGGATCTGGTTTCCGAGCCCGATCCGCAAGAAGATTGCGTGTAGATGCTAAATACTTTTTATTTTCCTTTACTTTTCTCTTATTTAATCATTTCTCGTATTTCTTTCAGAGAATTCATTCCGTGATGTTTGTTTAATACTTTTAAGTTATTGTGTAAGGAATGTAAAACTTAACCTTTTATTTCGCTTCTGCACTTAAATTATTATATATTTCCTTTTGGATTTCCGGGGTCGTTACACTCTATCTCTTGAAACCTGCACATACACGTTAATACCCATTTTCATCGAGAAACCACACCGAAAGAGGAAAAAGAAAGTCACCTAGTTCAGGTTCAATGCTTAGAAAATCCCAAATAGCTTTGGGTTCAATTCCTAGCCTCCGGAGAATGGTTTTCTTGGTTTCCCGAAAGCAACTCTTCACTTGTTGCGACGGTTGAGCGATTTGGTTTCACACTTGCATGTCCGTTAGAGTGAACACAAAAAGGGAACCTTGGAGAAGTGGAAAGGGATGAAAATTCACAAGTTTCTGAACGCTGGCGTCGCGAGCAACACAACTTCAGAATCCACCAGCAACGCGACATTTCTCGATCGCGGTTCCCTTTTCCTTTCCTTCCTTCGACTTTCTGCCTCCGAGACACCTCCTTCTTCCTCTTCAGCTACGTCTCCTTCTCTCTTTCTGGCTTTCCTTGTTCGTCTCTCTCTCTTACGGTGTTCTTTTCTCCCTCTCAGCCCGACCCTCACTTACCTTGGCTTTCTCTCTCACCCACTCAACTCAGCTCTCTTCCTCTCTTATTTTCGGCTCTCACTTTACTGAATGAAAAACCTTAATTTGCTCCTTTAAATACTAATCTTTCTAGTCATTTGATCTTGCAAGATTAGATCTGGGCCGTTTAATCGGATTCAATTTTAAGCTGTTAGATCTCTCAAACGATGTGATCTTGATCGTCCACCTCCTGATTTATTATTTGTACCTTTATACTCTTATTTATTTATGCATTGGACCTTTTTTTTTTTTCCACACGTTTTTACTTAAATCCTTTAAAATTTATAAAAATTCCTAATTTTTAAAATTCTTTCATTTAGACCCTAAATTCTAATTTAATTTATTTTATCATAAAATTAAAATTTATTTATTTATTTACTTATTACACTATTGAAGACCGTATATTACAAGTAGTGAGGCTGAGGATACATATGGTTTCACACGAGACTAGATGTGTTCTACGTATGCTTCTCAAATGTGGCTCATAGGCAAGGAGAGACAAAGCCAGTTGGCGGAAAAAGAAATCTGGTTGGAAAAGCATGCCCCATTTAATTAATACAAAGCTGATCATTCAATTCAAGACGAATGAGAAGAAGAAAACAGTAACTAGCAGAACCACCTCCACATAAGGTGATTATTATAATTATACCATGCGAAACTTGCAGGTACCATTTTGACAATTGATAAAGTAAATAATTAATATGCAAACGCCAAACCAATAATTAATATAAATCTCAATTCAAGATCCAGCAACTGAGATATAGATACAAAAAATGGAGGCCGCCATGAGAAGAGCTCTCCTTGTCCTGAACTGCGCCTTCGTCCTTGTAGGCGGCGGTGCAGCCCCTCTGTTGATGCGGATATATTTCACACGTGGCGGCAGCCGAGTCTGGTTCTCAACTTGGCTCGAAACAGCCGGCTTCCCGGTTCTTCTCATCCCTCTCACCGTCATCTACTTCCGTCACCGTTCCAAACAACAAACCTCAGAAGAAACCTTCTTCATGAAACCTCGTCTCTTCATGGTCTCCTGCATAATTGGAATCTTGACCGGACTCGATGATTTCCTCGACGCCAACGGCGCCATGCGGCTTCCTATATCGACATCAGCTCTAATCGGCGCCACCCAGTTGGCTTTCACCTCCTGCTTTGCGTTTCTGCTGGTGAAACAGAAGTTCACTTCTTTCTCTGTAAACGCCGTCGTTTTGTTGACCATTGGAGCCGCCGTTTTAGCCATGCATACCAGCAGTGACAGACCGGAGCATGAATCGAAGGGAGAATACGTGTTGGGTTTTATCATGACGGTGGGTGCCGCGACGTTGTATGGGTTCATTATGCCATTCTTGGAGTTGAATTATATGAAGGCTGGTCAGAAAATTACGTATGCGCTTGTGATGCAGACACAGATTGTTATATGTGTGTTTGCTACTGGTTTTAGCACTATTGGGATGATTATCAACAACGATTTCAAGGTTCGTATCTCATTTTCTTCAGATCCAACTTAGATGGTATAGAATTCTCATTGTAAGAGTTAATCACTCAGAGTTAAAGTCTACTATCTCTTAAAGTTGACCATTTTTTATTCTTGAAGTTCAGAATTAGTTTTAACTAACAGAGATCCCGATGTGGGATCTCATAAGAACATGATAATTAACTAGGTTGAAGATATGTAAGGTTAGATAAAGTAGTTAATAACTTTAATGCTCTAATTAAGTTATGAGATTCACAACCCTCTAGGTATACCGATAAACAAGATGCGTAGTTAGTGGCAGTTTAACAAGATAAGCATGTTCAAGTTGCAATATTCTAATATATATATATATATATATATATATATGTAGACTTTCAATAGTATAATTTAGTTGCGTAGTCATTCACTTCATTGTTATTTCTTTAATAATCATTCTGTCTATTCAACATTATATTTGATGGATTGATTTGAATAGTTATTAATTTTATTTTCTTTTTTCCTAAAGTTGGAACCTTGTGGATTTAATTATTTAAAAATATTTTTACAAACATTAAACAATATGTAAATATTATGAAATATGGATAATTTATAACCTGACCATGTCAATCCATTTACAGAGAAGAAATATTTTGTTACTATTTATCTATACTTTATATATAAATGTACATATTTCACATTAAAGAATATAATTTTACAGTAACTAAATGTGAAAGTACTATTCATCTACATATTTTATGTGGGTATTGAACATTAAAGAGTATAATTTTACATTAATCAAATATAAAAGTACTCAATATTTGTTTTCAGGTGATTCCAAGAGAAGCAAGAGAATTCGAGCTAGGAGAAGCGAAATATTATTTGGTAGCCGTATGGACGGCCCTAGGGTACCAGATGTCGTTTTTGGGGGTGATTGGGATCGTTTTCTGCGCATCAGCTTTGTTATCTGGAATTATGGTTTCACTTCTAATTCCAGTAACAGAGGTTTTAGGTGTAATTTTCTTGAGAGAAAAATTCCAACCAGAAAAGGGAGTTTCTCTTGCCATCTCTCTCTGGGGGTTTGCTTTCTACTTTTATGGTGAATTTAAAGCTCTCAAGAAGCAGAAATTAATAGAACAAACACAAACACAAACCCAAGAAGGTTCAGATCATCCTTAGAAAAACCATTTATGTGTATATATAACGTTTTCTTTGTACTGAATCATGTTTAATTTATACCAAATATATATACGTACACATATTTTTGCGATTAGAAATTCTTTTTTATTCTACCAGGACTCATCTGAAATTTACAGAAAATTTGAAGATGAGAAAATTTATTATCCTAATTTTTCAGAGGATTTATATATAAGTAATATTAGAAAACTTCACGCGATGTTAATTTTATTTTTTTGGAACAAAAATAAAAATAATATATTAGTATTAATTATAAATATATATTATATGAAAGTAAGATTAACTAAGGAAAATATTTTAGATTATCCGACTCTTTGATTTGAAAAAAAATAAATCAAGATAGTATTTTATGTAATATCTAAAAATTACTGCATCATCTACGTATATTAGAAAATATAAAAAATTATTTCGTTGCAGACAAAATATAGGCATAAAATAATTTATTATTATTATAAATTAAAATAAATATATAATTTAACAATCAAAATGTAACAACAAATAAATAAATAGTCTATAACCAAAACTATAGAGCTCTCTTGGCACACACCTTGGGCTTACATGGGCTTGTTTTACCACTTAATCCACTATGTTTAAATGTCATTGAGTCTGAGTCAATGGCTAGGCATAGTGAATATGAATAATGAGTGTATATCTACTCTCTCGCTCCTGTTTGCTGAGTTCTAAAATTATATATAATAGATAATATAAATAATTAATTTTGATCAAATCATTGGTGAGCAACATATTATGTAAGTATTGAGTTTATATTTTGGTTAGTTATTAATTTAAATATTATCAGATTATATGAGAAAATTATTTTATAAATCTTTTAAGTATTTTTAATAATTTTAAAGTCAAAGTAATTAGCCTAATTTAATATAAAGCAATTATTTAGGAGAATTAAAGTAATTTAAAACGTATTTTATATTTTCATTTTTATTTTTCTAAATGTGATGATTAGTCAACCCTTTCTTCATCAGTACTTTTTTCCTACATTTATCTGTTATTCGAAAATTAAAAAAAAAAGAAAAATAAAATCATATACTTGGACTAAGTTCAAGAACATCATAATGGAGCAAGAGACATTTCGGCTGAACGAGAAGCTGAAGCATCTACAAATAGGAAGTATAAATGCCCATAATAGTGAATATTTAAAAGCCATATTCCCCATCTCAAACCCAGGGAATACTGTAGCAGGGTCGGCAGAAGAGTACTATATATATATATATATATTATATGTACAGCCGTCTCGATAAGTAATTTGAAACCTTTACGAATGGTTTAGTTATTCTTTATCTTGGCAAAAGTAGTGAATATTTAAAAGGGTGAATTGCTGGTGACTCAAACATAATATATGTTTCCATAATAAAACAAATTGAAACAACTTATATGATGAGCCTAAATGACTTTATTATTGACTTATATTTGGATATTAATTTGTTAGTTTAGGGGTTTTATAGATTTTTAGGGTTTTTGAAAGTTTTAATTTGAGAATTAAAGATAATAAAGTAAAATAGAGTGTTTATAAAACTCTAATTAAGAGTTTTTTTTAAGAGAGTTAAATTATAGAAAAAGAAGAGTTTCTAGAAACTTCTCCTAATCCTTTTAAATTCCAAATTAAAAGGGTTGAGAGGACTTATAGAAATGTTTCATCAAGAGTTTAAATTTCTTAAATACCCATATATATATATATATATATATATATAAAACTTGTTCCACTAATAATTAATTAATGTTCTTTTGGCCTTATTAATGAAATTATTATTTCATTTTACCATGTCTTATCAAACACAAGAGTGACATTCAACATTCTCTTTTGTTAAATTATCTCCCAAACAAAGTTCTTTTGAAATTTTATTGTCTTTTTTTTTTTTTTTTTTTTTCATATTTCGATTAAAATTTTTGAATTTATCTCTTAAAACTCTCGAACCAATTAAAGTGATTTATATTATTATTATTATTATTTTTCTATTTTATGGTTTGGTTTGACGATTGTTTAAACCTTACAAAAAATGCATCACATGGCTTTTCGACTATTAATTAATGCCTTATAAATGTTGCCCATTATTACACCAAAATCCAAAATCAACATATAATGATTATATACAAATGTCATGATATTCCAAAAACAATTTTAAAAGCTGGATTCGTTATCCACAAGGGTCCAAAAACACATTGATAGCCTTCAATTAGTGAATTCATGTTAAATTACAAGAAATTTTGGGCATCAAAGATTCTTAATTTGTTTTGGGTTTTACATCATTCTTAAGTGGGTGTTCACATGAATATAGTAGGTTTCAATTAATGAATTTTTCTTTAAAACAAAAAAAAAAAATATATATATATATATGCAAAAATAAATTGTGGAATGGAATTTATAAATATACAAATCCCCCAATACAATTGAAAATAAACTAATATTCTTAAAGCATAACAACAAAACTATTTACAACATTGAGAATGAAGATAGATTTGGCAGCTGTTGTAGTTTCTGCTTTGAATTTAAAAGTGTTGTTAAAATAATTATAGAGTAAATATGTTTTTAATTTAAAGCAATTAGATGTTTAATAAGAATAATGGTAGAAACTGTTGTTATTTTAAAAATAAATGTTAAATATTTGATTAAAATAATTATTGATAATAACATTACTAAAAAGATATAAAAAATAAATAAATCAAATTAAAATTGTCTATATGATTAAAATATTTGTGAATAACAAAATAATATAAAATATACAATTTAAAATTTAAATAATTATTTGTATAATAATATTAATATATATAGATAACATTATACACTATATATAATATATATAAACTGTTATACATCATATATATATATACATAAACACATATATTTAACATTATATAATAGATATAGATAATATATGTAATTAATAAAAAATTCATGGTTCGCCAAAAACTAAACTTTGTATATATATATATATATATATATATATAGGAGAGTAGGAGAAAAATTAAAACAGTAATAAAACGTATATGAGAGTATATACATACTGAGAGGTTCGATGGCGTGGAAGGTGAGGTGAGGAGATGAGAGGAGAGGAGAGGAGCAAACCAAATGAGAAGGTAGAGGTGATTTTAGGTTCTATTTTTAAAGCCATAAAGATGTGATTTTCAAAGTTAATTCAGGATAGTTGAAGATATTTTTTTTAAAAGTTAATATTTTTTATTTTTTTATTTAAATTTATCAAATGCAATTTTTAACTCTAATTTTAATAAAAGTATTTTTACTTTTTTATATTTACTTATAAAATAAAATAATATACAAATTATTCTTATTCTTACATAATATTAGATGACATATAAAAAGCCAAATCCCTATCTAAAATTTTGAGCGTATAGTCCAGTAATAATAGAATAAATAATATTAAAATTTTTTATTTACTGAAAATATTTAAAGTTTAGATATTACATTCCTTACATGTTTACTCAAAACGCTCAAATATGGACTATGGAAATGCTTTGGAACTTAAACGAGAAAAAAAATATTAACGATAAATATGATTAACCTCTACTCAGAATTGACGAAACGGAAAAAGTAGTTCTTTAGCTGATATCTTGTTGTTCAGGATTTGACTCTTCGTTGTCATGATATGAAATAGTTAATAAGAAAAGAGGTGGACTACACTATTTCAATTATAATATCAACGCCTTACCACTAATAAGTAAAATCAAAAAGTTGTAGCAAACATAAAACGACCAATGAATCACACTTTTAATAAAATTCAAATGCTAGTGTATTCATTACTCGTTTCACTAAAAATATTAAGATAAAATCAGAATAACGATCTAACAGTATACATTTTAAAAGACGTATAACATTTAACTCTTCACTATTTTTCCAAAGTTAAATTCTTTACCATGTCCATCACTACTCTATTATTTTGAAAATATTAAAGAAAAGGGTTCACACATTGTGGAGACATCCCTATGAACCCCCATGAATACCAATAGGCTGATAAATGAGAAAATTATTGTTCTAACCAATTGCATATGAAATCATGAGATGTGTTATGTTATTGTCTCTATAAGTTGTTCTGTAAATCTCGTTACGGTAAGTAGACCGTAAATAATTTTATTTATAATAAACGATTTTGCTAAATTAAGAATTATATTAGTTGTTTTTATTATTTTTACCAACTTTCATTTCTGTGTCGGTGAGTAATGTGATATTCTTGCTAAGATAGTGTAACTAATTCTTTCATTAACCATTTCAGATCAAGAGGATCAGGATCCAGAGCCCGATCTACAAGAGGATTGCGAGTAGGGCGTTCAGTTTATTTACTTTTAATTTATTTCGTTGGTTATTAGTTGTCCTTTTAGAATGGTTATTCTCATAAGCTTTATTTAGTTCTTTCAGTTATTGTGTAAGAAATGTAAACTCTAACTATTTATTTCACTTCTGCACTTAATTTATAATTTATTTTCTTTGAAATTTTTGGGATCGTTACATGTATGTATTTTAGGGGCCCACTGCATGAAATGACTTAAGCAAGAATTGTGTCTTATATTGAGTATCAGGGCATGACAGGATCTTTATTAAAATGTAGTTCTACTACATATTTAATATTTATTTATTTTATTAATTAAAAATGTTATGCTAATGTCTGTACCCACCGACATTAGGTTTTGAGATGTTACAAGTGATATTAGAGCACACATTTCTCGAAACCAACCCTTGTGACATGAGACATTGGAACTTTAGGAGGTCTAGGACCAATAAAACTTAGGAGAACGACTCTTAAAAGATGTTTTGGACCTTATCTGAAATATTCATCAACTTAGGAAATAAGAAATAATATTTGACAAACCTAACGATAAGAACTATATAAGTTACTTGATGGCAAACTTAGAACTCCACAAATTATGGGTTCAACCTGAAGTTAACAGACAATGATACTTAACCAATCATCATCATCGAAATTCACAGGTGTTATGGAAAACCATCAAAGCCTTAACTTTTTGTTGGCTTATTGACCCCGTGAGTCAAATGACAGCAACCAAACTCTTAGAAAAAAAAGCATCTAATTTCCATTAAGTTAAGAAAGAAG